GTCCAAATCTGCATCCTTTCCTTCAAGGCTCAGGGGTCCAAGATTATCTTCTGTGTCTGTATTAATTGGTTTCCCTTTTCTTTGTTGAAGAGGGTCTGTGCAGTCCTTCTGCCTAGTCCGCCATCTTGCCCCGCCTCCCCATATGCTGTCTTTTTCAAATTAATTTCTTAACTGCTTGGTGCTGGTGTGTGTGAATGAAATACCATAAGCAAATCTTGCGTTAAGATTTACTTGGTAATCTGAGTACTCTCAGTCTTAAGATCATCTATCCTATATAGTACATATAATACGCTCATTTAATCAGAAAATACAGATTGGGCTGGGTTTTTAAAATTTTATCTTTAACAGTCTTACTTCTTTACTTTTCATTTTCTTGTACATATGTAATTATTTTACCTTAAAATATAAATTGAAGTGTTTTTTATTTTTAAAAAAGTGTCTTTAATGTTCTTATTTCTGTACCTTTTTCCTTGCCTTTTCTTTCCTGGTGTGTGTTGACTGCAATCTCTAGGATAATGTGGAATGGGGATGGAATGATCAGGATCCTTGTTTTCTGTGTCCTTTCACTAGAAAGTGTTGGTGTTTTCAGTACATACTTTCTTTGGTGTGCATTTTTCTTTGTATCTGCCCGTTTTCATCATTTCTTTCCTGGTTACATCCATAACCTTCTAACATGTCCCCAAGACTCCCACCCAGGTTCTTTACATTCTGAAGGAGCTGTCCTGTCATCTTCCATCTCTGAGCAAATTGTCAAATTGCTCTGGTTTCACTCAGATCAGAAGCTGGAGTCTTTTCAGAAGCCAGCATCTTCCCAAAACCATGATCTGCCACCAGACTCCTTGCCGCTCCACGTGGCTCTCCTGTTCCTCTCCTGCGTCTCACTGTGCTCCTGTCTACTCCTATCAGGCTGGGCGTGGTCTCTCCCTAAAGGAGCTCTGGTGGCACAGTGCCTAAGACACTTGACTGCTGACCAGAAGGCTGGCTGTTCAAACCCACCATCCACTCCTCGGAAGGAAGGTGGGGCAATCTGCTTCCGTAGTGATACTGCCTCGGAAACACAAGGAGGGGTTGCTGAGTCAGGTCCGAGTCAATGGCAGTGTGTGTAAAGCATTCCAGGCCACTGCCACCTGCTGGCCTCTGCCTTGGTGGTTCTTCCGCCTGGGATAGTCTCTCTCAGCTGTCCCTTGAGTAACTCCTTCACATCCTTCAAGTCTTAACTCACATCATTCTTTTCAAATGCAGTGTATTATCATGAATATGTCGTAGGAATAGAAGTTAGTTTTTGACGGCTTCAGTATGTGTACACTGGCCCACTGCAGTGGAGGAGGCTGTCGGATGTGGCATTGAATCAAGAGTTCGCTATGACACTATCATACCGGGATTTGTTATGGATGACCCTGACAGCTAACTTCAGCTTGTTAGTGCTTGGCTGGTCAGTACAATCTTAGCAACACAAGTACAGTCTTGCAGGCTTTTATCTTCTCACTACATATTGAAGCCAGAGGGTTGATCTTCCTTTACAGAGACCAGTCCTGTAACCCAGAGGATGCCAGTGGTCAGGGTTCAGGTAGTCGTGCATGTGTGCCATCCAAGGGCTGCAAATGGGAGAGAATTGTGGAGTGGAATGTCTCGAGGGTTAGTGTGTAAGTCTGTTCCTTGGATGCACGAGCAGATTGACAGCTACATCTTCAGCACTTGAGTGAACTTACTACAAAATAGGCCTCTGTCCTCATGTTCAGCGTCAGGAGACAGGGTGTGCTCGTCTGGTTCTTCAGAGAGTGGGCCCGTGGCTGTGCGTGTGTTTGTGTGGGTGTCTGGGTCTCTGTCTGTTGAGGGTGGCAGCCGTGGCTCTCCAAGATTGACAGTTGTGATCACGTTTGGGTTCTTGTTTCCTGGGCCTCACCTGAGCTCCGGTACCTTACCTGTGTCCGTCAATGCACAGAGAGCATGAAGTGCACTCACAGAGTTACTGAAAAGTAGGTGGCAGGCATGTGAAATCCACAGTCCTTCAGAATAATCTCCTTTCAGCAGGTGGTCCTGTCAACTGCTGATCACTAGGAGCTCTTCAAGAAAATACAGCAAGCTCAGGGCCTTGCTGTTACCTTGTGCAGGCCACTGGGCCTCCCATGATTGGTGAGGAGCTGAGGGAAAAACTGCCCGTCCTGCAGTGTGTCCCAGCTGTTACGCCTCACCCCGCTTTCACCTTGGGCTCCATGTTTCTTTAAATGTTCTGCTGCATCCTGGGCAAGGAGGTGAACTTTTTAAAAATTTTTTCTCCCCCAAGGAAGAAATGGTCTGAATGTGGAAAAAAGGCTTTGATTGTAGAGCATTTTTTAAGTTTATGCTGTGTGTTCTGACTGCTCCAGACCGTAAAACTAGAAATGAGACTGGAGTTGGTCATAGTCAAACTGTGGAAAACTAAGTTTGTTGTGTTGGAAGTATTGTTAAGTGTATGAGACTGAGTACAGTCAGTGAGGATGTGACTGTAGACAGGGAAGGCATGACGCTGATGACTCCACCCTGGAGGAGACCTTAGTACAACACAGAATGTTGTGTCAAATTCCCTGAAATCTCAGTTCCCAGGCCTGTCAGCCTCACCCGTCCTTTCACACACACGGGCGTACATGGGACCCTGCTGACCAGAGTGTGGGATGTTGCAGGGCTCAGTGGCTGTTGAGGATGTGGCTGTGGACTTCACCCAGGACGAGTGGGCGCTGCTGGATCTTTCTCAAAGGAAGCTCTACAGAGATGTGATGCTGGAAACCTTCAGAAACCTGGCCTCAGTAGGTACGGATGGCTTCCGTTTTTGTGTGTTTTTTTTTACCTTTATTGACCAAATATGTCATATTCAGTGCTGTTACTCCAGGATGTTCGCCAAGGAATGGGAGTTCGTTGTGAAATAAGAAAGGTGTGGTCATTCGCTCTCTGGCTTCCATATCCTGACCTCCCTGTAAATACAAAGCTCTGTGTAGTAAACTGCTTCTCATTTCAATTTGGTGAAAAGTCTTCAGTGTTGTAAGTGTGACCATTGACTTCAGGGATTCTTTGGTGCACGGGGAGAATAATCATCATCTGGGGTCTGGCAAAGGGAGTCACTGTGTTTATTACAATTTGCCGTGATTATGTTGCTGTAAATAACTTCACACCTGTCCGTCGCTAGAGAAGCTGAACACTGAAGTACTGGCTCGGTGTCAGGAAAGTTTGTTGCTCTTCCCTGTGTTCCCTCGTGATACGGCTTTCTCCACGAGCACCCTGTCAGCCACACCCACTCGCCCTCCCAGACTAGCAAGAGGACAGTGCAGATGGCACCCCTCAGGACCACTGTGTCGGCGGTCACCAAGAGGCAAGGAGCCTTTTGAAGGACCACACCTTCATTGAGAGAATGTGATTTGAAAAAGTCAGTTATGAAAAGTCTCTTTTGGGTTTAGAAGTATTTACTTCAGAGAAACCTGAGCTTGTTTTTTGAATTTCGTCAATATAGGCACACCTGTGTCAGGGAGAAAGACTATTCCTTCTTGTTTTAATGTTACATGTTCATTGTCTCCAACACCATTTGACTTTGCTCTTCTAATTATATCCTATTTATGACATCATCGCTCTTAATCTTCATGGAACTATTTCCTACTTGTTTGCTTTGTGATCATTTTCAAAGTACTGACACACCAAAATGTGGCAATGTTTTTTGGCTCACAGCTGCCTTTCCTTTTTGTTTCATATTGTGAACCTCAACATAAATCATTGGGTCAGTTTCTCAAAACGTTAATGATGGAGGAAAACAACCCACTGAAAATATAATAGTACAATGTATGAAAAATGACATCTGGTCTTCCATGGAAGGAGACATCTGCAAATTTCATGGCATTGACGATGAGAATAACAATCAGAAAACACACGCAAGGTGAGTATCACTCACTCGAGAAGTAGCAGTACTTCCGGAGAGATTATTAAAAATGTCATTAAAGTATTCATATATAGATGATTGTGAGGCAATCATGTAGATGATGTGGAACTGGGCAGCGTTTTGTTCTGTTGTACATAGAATTGCGATGACTCACAACCAACTCTGGCCTCTAACAGCAACAACAAGGAGCCCATGTGTCACAAACTGTTCAGCACTCAACTGGTACCTAGAAGGTTGACAGTCTGAACCTACCCAGGGCCTCTGCAAGAACAATACCTGGCAGTCTGCTTCCGTAATAACTACAAGCAGCACAACTCTATGGGGAAGTTCTACGCTGTCACAAGGGTCTTCCAGGAGCTGCCACCTAGCATCCACCACAACTATGTATATTCTTGTGTGCTGTCAGTGTAGTTGTGGCTTCTCTTGTACCCCGTGTACAGGAGAACCAGACACTGTCGGGCCTGAGCATCCTCACAATCGGTGTGCCACTTGTGTTTGAGCCCCTTGTTGCAGCCACTGGGTCAGTCCATCTTGTTGGTCTTCCTCTCTTTTGCTGACACCCTGCTTTGCCAAATATGATGTCCTTCTCCAGTGACATCCAGAGATGTGGGATGACAGAAGATGAAGTCTCACCATCCTCCCTTTTAAGGACCATTTGCTTCCATTCTGTCTGTACTTCTTCCAAGACATTTGTTCATTCTTCTGACGTCCATGGTGTATAGTCAGTATTCTTTGACAACACCATAAGTCAGAGACATCAGCTCTTCCGTATTCATTGTCCAGCTTTTGCATTCATCTGAGGTGATTGAACATACCATGGCTTGGGTTCAGGATCTTAGTCGTCAAAGTAATGTCTTTATATGTATACGTATACATGTACATATATGTATGTATATATATGTGTGTGTGGGTGTGTGTGTACATACCCACACATACATATGTATATCTGCATATGTATAGATTTGTACATATAACTGCATATATGTCCACGTTGTTAGGTGCTGTCGAGTTGATTCTGACTCAGCCACCCTGTGTACGGCAGAATGAAACACTGCCTGGTTCTGCACCGTGCTCACAGTCCTTGCTATGTTTGAGCCCATTGTTGCAGCAGCTGTCACATATACGTACATACATTTACACACACACACACATATGTATTTCCATCCAGTCTATTCTGACTCCTAGCAACCCTGTAGGACAGAGTACACCCTGACTCTAAAGGACATGCTCAGATCCTGGCTCTTTGTTTCCTTAGTAACACACCCTCTGATGTCTTCTCACTTGCTTAATCCCCTTTACGCCTCAAAAGAAACTGACTCAAGATACAACTTGTCCTGTAGACTGCATCCTGCCTTATCAACCTAACTGCCTTGACTCCTGCTTCGTTAACATCATAGAGATGAGGATTTAAAGCACGTAGGATAATTATATCAGATCACAAAATGGAGGATAGTTGCATATTACTGAGAATCATGGCCTAGACATATAGACACATATTTTTATGGGCATACAGTTCAATCCATAACATAAACGTTATGCCATTTCAGCCAATGTTTCATAGAAATGCTGTGCTTGCCAATAGTGAAGGAAACCTGTGTGTGTGTCTACAGGACTGGGCTGTATCTTGGTGGGTGGGGCCAAATATATGTATATATATTTGATTCTGTTCCAAGTTATGGCAGTGCCAGTGGGTTAGTTCAGATTCCCAACCTTTAGGTTTTAGATGAGCACAAACCTTTATTGCCATCCAGGTATCTTATATATGTATGTACATCACCAGCTCTAATTTTGTGTGTTTACCCAATCACCCAACATCCACAGTATAATATTTTCATAAATGTGGGTCAGATACTGAATATTTGAAACATACTTCACTTATATACTATTATCAGAAAACCCCATATTTTCGAAACACAGGGTAAATAACAGTAGCATCTCTGCCAGATGATTTAATCTATGACACATGAGTCAATTCAGGGCAAAGGATACAAGTTTTTTGTGTATAGTAATGGTGAAATAGTAACAAATTTTTATCCGACAGCCTGCTGCCTGTGTTTAACAGAAGGCACGTGGTAGAGAACCTTTGTGAAAGTGATGAAGAAATTCAGTGTGGGCAGAACTTCAGCCGGATTCCCCATCTTTCTGTGCTCAAAAGAACTCCCATGGAAGCATATCCTTCTGAACATCTTGAGGGTGGAAAATCCTTGATAAATCACTTATCAGTTCAGCATCATATGGGATCTCACCATGGATACAGTGCCTGTCAGTGTAAGGAATGTGGAGAAGCCTGCAATTTTTCCTCTTACCCCTGTATTCCTGTGAGAACTAGTATTGGAGAGAAACCCTATGAATGTAGGGAATGCGGGAAAGCCTTTAGTTGGCCATCGCAACTTACTTCACATTTAAGAAGTCACAGTGGAGAGAAGCCTTACGAATGTAAGGACTGTGGAAAAGCCTTTTGCCATTCCTCCCACCTCACCTCACATAGGAGAATTCACAGTGGAGAGAGACCTTATGCATGTAAGGAATGTGGGAAAGCCTTTCGTCATTCCTCACACCTCATTATACATAAGAGAACTCACAGTGGAGAGAGGCCTTATGAATGTAAGCAATGTGGGAAAACCTTTATTCAATCCTCATGTCTCACTAGGCATATGAGAACTCACAGTGAAGAGCGGTCTTACAAATGTAGGGAATGTGGGAAAGCCTTCCCTCATTTCTCAAATCTCATTATACATATGAAAATTCACAGTGCAGAGAGGCCGTATGAATGTATGGAATGTGGGAAAGCCTTTCGTCATTCCTCACACCTCACAAATCATATGAGAACTCACAGTGGAGAGAGATCTTATGAATGTAAGGAATGCGGAAAAGCCTTTCATAATTCCTCACAACTCAGTGTACATTTGAGAACTCACAGTGGAGAAAAGCCTTATGAATGTAAGCAATGTGGGAAAGCCTTTAGTTGGCCATCACACCTGACTACACATTTAAGAACTCACAGTGGAGAGAGGCCTTATGAATGCAGGGAATGTGGCAAAACTTTTCGTCATTCCTCACACCTCACTGCACATATGAGAACTCACAGCGGAGAGAGGCCTTATGAATGTAGGGAATGTGGCAGAGCCTTTAGTCAGTCCTCAGACCTTACTCGACATATGATAACTCACAGCGAGGAGAGGTCTTATGAATGTAAGGAATGTGGGAAACTTTTTCATCATTCTTCACACCTCACTATACATATGAAAATTCATAGTGCAGAGAGGCCTTATGTGTGTAAGGAATGTGGCAAACTCTTTCGTCATTCCTCACACCTCACTAGTCATGTGAGAACTCACAGTGGAGAGAGGTCTTATGAGTGTAAAGAATGTGGCAAAGCCTTTCGTAATTCCTCATACCTCATTATACATATGAGAACTCACAGTGGAGAGAGGCCTTATGAATGTAAGGAATGTGGCAAAGCCTTTAGTCAGTCCTCAAACCTCACAGAACATATAAGAACTCACAGTGGAGAGAGACCTTATGAATGTAAGGAATGTGGCAAAGCCTTTAGTCAGTCCTCAAACCTCACTGAACATATGAGAACTCACAGTGGAGAGAGGCCTTATGGATGTAAGGAATGTAGCAAAGCCTTTCGTCAATCCTCACACCTCCTTGCCCATTTAAGAACCCACCGTGGAGAGAGGCCTGAAGGAAGGAATGTGGGGAAGCCTTTACTCAGTGTCCAGGGCTTACTGAACATAAATCACTTCATAGTGGGAGAGACTTTAGGAATGTGAGGAATGTGGGAAAGCAGTTACTTCCTCCTCGTCCTTCACTGAATGTGGAAGAAATCACCTGGAGAAATATTTGTAATATATGGAATGTGAGAAATTCTTTGGTGAATCCTGAAACCTCACTAATCATATAAACATTGACAGTGGCGAAAGGCTTTATAGATATAGAATTTGTCCATATATATACATTATTATGATGAATTAACCATTAGTTAGTTGCAGACATGGACTTCAGCCTTTAAGCATGTACATGCTACAAATCAGACCAATTTCCCACCACAAAAACACATATTCATTGTCCCACACAGCAAATGGAAATTTCTCTAGTTGTCCATCAAATATCTCTTGCAGTTGTTGGAGTTTTTGAAGCTAGGATCCAAACAAGATTCCCACATTTCCTTTTTATTTTTAGTTGTTTAATCTGTCTTACACAGAATATTTTCCTGTTTGTCTTGTAAAATGTTAAAATATTCACCATTCTGTTATAGCAAAACCTGTGAAAGCTGGAATCTATGAACATCAGAAATCTGTCAGAGAAGGAAAACTTACTGGGTGTTTATGAAGTGAAATTGTTACTTCAGAGCAAGAGAAAAGTAGTAACCAGCTATCAAAGTTACAAAACAAGTGAGACCCAGAAAAACCAGGCAATCCCATGGAGCTCCAGTTTTCACACAGCCTCATTGTGGCTTATCATGATTATTGTCTTCTGTGGGTTTGTAAGATAGACATTGGTTCTAGTACAGTTCTGTCTTATACAATCATAATGTAAGCCAAAGGTGTAATTTAAAGTAGTTTAGCAGCTATATGGAAAAAATTTAAATGTAAGTATGAAATTTTTAATGAAAAGTTTTACTTATCCCACTATATCGTTATTGACAATGTAAAAATTGTAAATGAAATTAACAACTAATCAATATAAATTTATTTATGGGTTATTTTATATTGTCTTCCTTTTGTACTCTTCCAGACTCCAGAAGCAGCACATCTCATAAATTTTACTGTTCAAAAAGTAGACTCAGTATCCCAGGTTAGTCCAAACATATTTTTCCCATAATTGTTTATTGTTATACTTAAATTAATTAAAATTAAAATTCATTCAGTTTGTTAGTTGCACTAGACACAAAGGTTGTTGACACAATCCTATTAGTGTTTGAATGTGAAAGAAGTTCCTGCATCATTTTGTACTTTGCTGTTGTGGACATAGAATCAACCACATTTCTCCCCAAAACTTTCCTTCCTTTTAAAAATCAAGGTCTGTACAATACATGGTCTTAGTGCTAAACCAAAACTTCTTGCCATTGAGTCAATATTGTCTCAGACTTTCTGTAAACATCCAAAATACCTATTTTCCTACATCATAAATTCATACTCATATGTCCAGTACAGCAGTTTTGGTGGTGTAGTAGTTAAGGCAATTGGCTGCCAACCAGAAGATCGGTGGTTTGAACTCACTAGCCACTCTGTGGAAGAAAGATAAGACAGTCTGCTTCTATAGAGATATACAGCCTTGGACACCAAATGGGGGTCGTTTTGAGTTGGAATCAACTCAGTGGTAGTGAGTGGGTTATAGCCAATACAAATTTAAGGTTATGACTTTTTATAACTGTAAAAGAAGTGGTACTGGACAGTGTTAAATAAACACACTGAGAGACCTCAGCATAAGTCTGAGTTCAACTCCAAAGAACAAAGTGAAGCAAGGGGTTTTTAAGAATTTTGCCTCTCCTGGGATACTGAAAATGTACTAAGTAGAAGTTGGCAAGCCTATATGAGCCACAAGGATGGATTTTAGGTAAGAATTCTAATGGTTTTCAGAAATGTTTGTTCAAGTCTAACTTATTAGCCTGAGCAAGAAATATTCATGGTGTCAAAGGGGAAACCTTGTTCCTTACTGTTGGCTGTTTCATATTTATACAGTACAGTACCTACATAAGCCAGTACCATGGGCATTTATTATGACCATTGTGTTAGGGTGGGTTCTCTAGAGAAGCAAAACCAGTAAAGCTTGTGTGAGAGAGAGAAATTTATCTTAAGAAAATGGATCACACACTTATAGAAGCTGGCAAGTCCCAAGTTCTTGGATCACACATCAAGCTGGAAGCTTCTCCTGACTCACTACAGCTGCAGGGGCTGACAAGCTCAAGGTTGGCAAGCAGTATACCAGCTATTGATTCCAACGAATGACGAATCCAAGATCTTCAGGAGGAATGGTGGATTGTTTGCTCACAGACAGTTGTAGGCAGCACAACAGGATCACGATCCACAGAAGTGTGTTTCTTTTCCCCAGGATGTCCATAAATATATTGGAAGCAGGCCACGTCCCTAGGGAAACTAACTTTCAATGGATTGGCTGCTCAAAACATATACATCTGATAGCATCATGGGAATAACCCACATCACAACTGCTTAAACCACTCAGTCAAGTTCACACACAACTCCAACTATCACAGTCCACCCCTTATCAACTTGGCAGTTGTACACATCTTCTTACCCATACATAATCTCTAAATAAGGACAATTATAAACTCATATTTGCACCTAACATGATAGACTAAAACACATACAACTGAAATGCATTAGCCCTGTTTAAATTTCATAGTTCATACAAAAATATTTGATGCGCATATACAATGAAGAAATATAGCAATCACAATCCTCGTTTCTGCAACTGGTCACGTGGTTGTAGCTGATATTCAGAACTACCTTCTTCCACCTCCCATTCCGTATTTTCCTTGCCCTCAGCAAGCAACTCAGCTAGTCATGCTTCTTTGCCTGGTAGGGTGACCCAAACCTTCATTTCTGAAGGGTCTGGGCCATTAGTAGTCATATCAGAATTGGCTTGCTGTAATTTTCCATTGACTTTAATCACAGGGCATAGTAGTACTAAGAGACGTCCTAAAGAATCTCCTGTATTCCAGATATATTCTTCTTGACCTCCATTATATAATGTCAATCCAGTTTCCCCTTGGTAATCAGGATCCATCATACCAGATAGTACAGTAACACCCTTCTTTGTTGATCCAGAGACATGAGGAAGCCAAAATGGCTGGGTAGCATTCTTAATTTCCAGTTCAATGCAATCAGTATTGTGTCTCCTCCTTTTGGGACTAAGAACTCCAGACTCACAGAGCATAGGGTAGGAGGGACAGGAAGCAAAAATTTTTTGAGTGAGTCACTAGGTGTAATAGTGGTACCATTCTCATTTCCACCCCTTGGTTCCTGGGCCTATGAATCCTGGCTATTGGAGAAACAGCAGTACATATTGGATGCTGATTTAGAGCATATACAGCCTCCTGGAGAACATTGCCCCAACCCTTCAAGGGATTGTCACCTTGCTGGTGCCATAAATGTGTTTTTAGTAGGCCGTTTCATCATTCTATCAAGCCAGCTGCTTCAGGATGATGAGGAACATGGTAAGACCAGTGAATTCCATGAGCATAGGGCCATTGCTGCACTTCATTTGCTGTGAAGTGAGTTCCTTGATCTGAAGCAATGCTGTGTGGGATACCATGACAGTGGATGAGGCATTCTGTAAGTCCATATATGGTAGTTTTGGCAGAAATATTGCATGGAGGGAAGGTGAATCTATATCCAGAAAAGTGTCTATTCCTAAGAACAAAATGCTGCCCTTTCCATAATGGAAGTGGTCCAATGTAATCAACTTGCCACCGGTTGCTGGCTGATCACCCCAAGGAATGGTTCCATATCACGGACTCAGTGTTGGTCTCTGCTGCTGGCAGATTAGGCACTCAGCAGTGTTGTTGTGGTTGTTAGGTGCCATTGAGTCATCTCCTACTCATAGCAACCCTATGCACAGCAGAACAAAACACCACCTGGTCCCATGCCAGCTCCACAGTTCCTGCTATACTTGAGCCCATAGTCGCAGCCACCATGTCAATCCATCTCATTGAGGGCCTTCCCCTCTTTTATACACCCTGCATTTACCAAACATGACATCCTTCCCCAAGGAGTGGTCCCTTTTGATAACGTGACCAAAGTAGGTGAGATGAAGTGTAGCCGTTCTTGCTTCCAAGGAGCATTCTGGCTGCACTTCCTCCAGGAGATATTTGTTAGTTCATATAGCAGTACATGGTACTTTTAGAATTCTTTGCCAGCACCACAACTGAAAAGCATTGATTCTTGTTCGGTCTTCCTTATACATGCATACAAGGTGATTGAATATATCATGACTTGTATCAGGCACACTTTACTCCTCAAGGAGACATCTTTGCTCTTCAGCACTTGAAAGAAGTCCTTTGCAGCCAGTTTGCCCAGTGCTGTATGTTGTCTGATGTCCTGACTGCTGCTTCCATTGGCATCAGTTGTAGAACCAAGCAGTATGAAGTCTTTGACAACTTCCATCTTCTCTCCATTTATCGTGATCCTGCTTATAGGTCCAGTTGTGAGGATTTTTGTTTTCTTTATATTGAGATGTAATCCATACTGCAGACTATATGCCTCAATCTTCATCTGTAAGTGCTTCAAGTCGTCCTCACTTTCAGCAAGCAAAATTGTTTCGTCAGCGTATCGCAGGTTGTTAATTATTCTTCCTCCAATCTTGATGCCATGTTCTTCTTCATATAATCCAGCTTCATATAATCCAAAGAGGGGAAGGCCCTCAATGAGATGGATTGACACGGTGGCTGCGACTATGGGCTCAAGTATAGCAGGAACCGTGGAGCTGGCATGGGACCAGGTGGTGCTTTGTTCTGCTGTGCACAGGGTTGTTATGAGTAGGAGATGACTCAATGGCACCTAACAACCACAACCACACTGCTGAGTGCCTAATCTGCCAGCAGCAGAGACCAACACTGAGTCCGTGATATGGAACCATTCCTTGGGGTGATC